CTCAGTTTTGCTATGAACCCTAAAAATTAAAGTTTATTATTTATATATATATAATATATATATTCATTCCCAGGACGTATCCCAGACCTGTTAAATCGCAATCCCCAGTGAATAGTCCAGGATTTTTTTTTTTTTTTAATTCCAGGAGATTCTGATGATCAACCAGGTTTAGGAGCACATAGAAGAGGAGGGAGCTGGGGATTTGGAACTAGACAGACCTGAGTTTGAATTCTAGAGTTGCCACTTTCTTACCAGGCAACATTGGACAAGTTATTAACCTCTCTATAATGGGGAATTATAATTACCCACAGTGTTCACAGGAGGATCGAACGAGCTGACATCTTGTGACCCTGGGTGTGATAGACACAGGGGCAGCTGTAAAGGCACATGGGCCTCATCACCAGGAAGAACCGGAACCTGAACTAAGTCCAGGGAGTGGAACAAACACTTCCTTGTTCTCTCCCCTTCATGACCCAAATCCCCCTTCAGCCCTTGCTGATTCTTCTTCCCACAGATACATGGATATCTCCCCTTGATCTCTGTCCCCCCCACGTTCTGATCTGATCAGCTGTTACTTCTTACACCAGCAGGTCCCATTTGCCCATCATCTTTATGTTCTGCAGAGAAGAGGGCCAGATAAACCTCTGTCTTACTAGTACTCATCACCTCTCATTACATTCTTGTGCAATTGCTATGTTAAAAAATCTACTTTCTCACCTAAGGTGAGAGTGGAACAGAGAGCCACTTCCTACCACAAATGCAAATTGCCTGTAACATGTCTAACCTAAAGATGAGTTCTTTCCCTTTGTCTCTCCTCCCCATCTCCAAATCCTTTCCCTTGCCTTCTTCCTTGCCTGGTGAGCTTTGGGTTGCTCCAGCAGAAAGGAATGCAGGATGTTTCCCCTAGAACAGCTCAGGCCCAGGCCCAGAGACCAGGAAGTTGTTCTCTAGGGAAGTAGCTGGAGGTACAGGTCATGCTCCTCACGGGTGCTGGCTGCTCAGCATCCATTTCCCTGTCTCCCCCTTCTCTTTTTTCACTCTGATCCCCTTGAAGGCCAAGCTGGCTTCCAGGTCTACCTCTTAATAATGCAACAAACCAGAATAAAAGGAAAAATAACTTCAGAATAAATTATCATTTGCCTGTATTGTTGGACTAAGGTGGGAGTACTGCTCACACTGTTTGTCTCCGTGTGGCATCTTCCTCTTGAGCCATCTCTTCTCCGTGTCCTTGGCCACCTCATCCCCATCTATCAGCTTGTTAGTATTAGAGCTCCTCAAGTCTTGAGTCCTTGGCTCTGCTCTTCTCACTCTTACCCTCCTCCATGACTATGGCTTCAGTTATTCTCTACCCAGGGATGATTCCTGAACATGCATCCCCAGAACAGATGTCTCCTCTGAGTTCCATGCCTGTATATCTCATTATATACTCAATACGTACACTGGTATGCCTCAAACTGAATTTGTATCCTCCTGTTGTATGCCATTCACACCTGGCCTTCCCCTAGGATTCCAATCTCAGTGAATGATAACACTATCCATCCCTTTGGATGCCATTTGGACTCTTCTCTCTCCCTCACCAACTAGAACAAATCTTGTTTGGTCAGTTTTAAATATTTGTGGAGCTCATCGATTTCCCTCCATGAACCCCCAACCCATCTCTGTGGTCCTCTTCAATGCTGTCCCCACATCTGTGACTTCTCTTCTCTAGTTTTCACACTGCAGCTAGAGTAATCATTTTTTAATTTTTTTTTTTTCAACGTTTATTTATTTTTGGGACAGAGAGAGACAGAGCATGAACAGGGGAGGGGCAGAGAGAGAGGGAGACACAGAATCAGAAACAGGCTCCAGGCTCTGAGCCATCAGCCCAGAGCCCGACGCAGGGCTCGAACTCACGGACCGCGAGATCGTGACCTGGCTGAAGTCGGACGCTTAACCGACTGCGCCACCCAGGCGCCCCAAGAGTAATCATTTTTTAAAAAGCAAATGTAATCACACCACTACTTTGCTTCATACATGTCAATGACTGCCCACTGCTCTTAAGAAAACCAACATCTTACTTGACACATCTCCAAAGGCAGGGGAATTAAAAGCAAAAATGAACTATTGGGACGTCATGAAGATAAAGAGCTTCTGCACTGCAAAGGAAACAATCGACAAAACTAAAAGGCAACCGACCGAATGGGAAAAGATATTTGCAAATGGCATATGGGACAAAGGGCTAGTATCCAAAATCTATAAAGAACTCAGCAAACTCCATATCTGAGAAACAAATAATCCAGTGAAGAAATGGGCAGAAAACATGAATAGACACTTCTCTAAAGAAGACATCCAGATGGCCAACAGGCACATGAAAAGATGCTCAACGTCACTCCTCATCAGGGAAATACAAATCAAAACCACACTCAGATATCACCTCACGCCAGTCAGAGTGGCTAAAATGAACAAATCAGGAGACTATAGATGCTGGAGGGGATGTGGAGAAATGGGAACCCTCTTGCACTGTTGGTGGGAATGCAAACTGGTGCAGCCACTCTGGAAAACAGTGTGGAGATTCCTCAAAAAATTAAAAATAGATCTACCCTATGACCCAGCAATAGCACTGCTAGGAATTTACCTGAGGGATATAGGAGTGCTGATGCATAGGAGCACTTGTACCCCAATGTTTATAGCAGCACTTTCAACAATAGCCAAATTATGGAAAGAGCCTAAAATGTCCATCAACTGATGAATGGATAAAAAAGTTGTGGTTTAGATATACAATGGAATACTACTTGACAATGAGAAAGAATGAAATGTGGCCTTTTGTAGCGATGTGGATGGAACTGGAGAGTGTTATGCTAAATGAAGTAAGTCAGGCAGAGAAAGACAGATACCATATGTTTTCACTCTTATGTGGATCCTGAGAAACTTAACAGAAGACCATGGGGGAAGGGAAGGGGGAAAAAAAGTTACAGAGAGGGAAGCAAACCATAAGAGACTCTTAAAAAGAGTCTTAAAAACTGAGAATAAACTGAGGGTTGATGGGGGTGGGAGGGAGGAGAAAGTGGGTGATGGGCATTGAGGAGGGCACCTGTTGGGATGAGCACTGTGTGTTATATGGAAACCAATTTGACAATAAATTTCATATTAAAAAAAAGAAAGCTATTTAAGTAGTTAAGTTTATAGTACACCAACTGAATGGATAAAAATCTACATCATTTATAAATACCAAAGAAGAAGAAGAAGAAGAAGAAGAAGAAGAAGACGACGACGACAACCAACATCTTTAGAATGCCCTATCAGGACCTACAAAACTTGGCCCCTGCCTACCTCTCCAGCCTCATTTGAGCCATCCCCCCCCGCCCCGACTCTGAACAGCAGTCAACTGACTTCTTGCAATTTCCTCAACAGATCATACACTCTTACCTCAGGGTTATTGTTTATGTTGTTCTCCCCACCTGGAACACCTTAGTTCCCTAAAATTTCCTAAGTGTCCAACTTCTGCTGAAAAATTCATCTTCAGGAAACTTTCTTGGACTGCCTCCTTATTCCTCTCCCCCTTGTATTAATTTTCTAGGGCTGCTCTAACAAAGTACAACAAACTGTGGGGCTTTAAATAATAGAAATGTATTATCTCACAAATCTGGATGCTAGAAGTCCAAGATCAAGGTGTTTTAAGGGTTGGTTTCTTCTGGGAGCTGAGAGGAAGAATCTGTTCCATGCCTCTCTCTTAACTTCCAGTGGTTTCCTGGCAATCTTTGTCACTCCTTGGCTTGTAGGAGTATCATCCCCATCTCTACCTTCACAGGTGTTCTCCCTGTGTGCACGTGGGTGTGCAACCAAATTTCCCTTTTGTAATGAGGACACCAGACATGTTGGATTAAGGGTCACCCTGCTCCTGTGACCTCATCTTAACTAATTATATCTGCAAGGACCCTATTTCCAAATAACATCACATTCTGACATATTGGGGGTTAAGACCTCAACATACAAACTGGGGTAGAGGGCACAATTCAACTCATAACAACTTCCGTTTCCAAAGTGGAGTCCTCTGGTTACATATTGTCACGGTTCTGCCCTGTAGACCTTTTCTACAAAGTACAGATCGCAGTTTGTAATTATCAATGAATAATCACACAAGCAAAATGTGTTTGTTCCCCCCATAGATTGTGAGCTCCGTAGGGACCATATTGCTTTTGTTGACCATTGCGCCCCCATGCCTGGTACGCACTAGTTGTTCAGTATGTACTCACTGAGTAAACACATAAATTCTACAGCCTTCCAGGTCCCTGCCTGCATGTCAGTGTGGAGAGACCCACCTTTTGTCTCGTAGGCCTGCTCAGTCATTTCCCAACGTTCCAACTTCCAGAGCATTAAGTCATCGAGGCAAATAGGGTTGAAGGCAGATCCGTTGGTTCATCAGTTGCTTCCCAGTCTTAGTGATCCCTTGAAACTCCAATGTGATCTTCCCCATAAAGACAATCCCCTGCTAAGAAAAAAGAAAAAAAAGTGTCCAAGATTTGTAAGCCCATTGCACTTTCATGTAAACGTGCCTCAGGAGCACCAGTGATTATTATTGAGGAGGCTGAGGGAGGTTCTCTGGAGATCTTAAAAATAGGTTACTTCCCTAAGGACTGAAAGAGTTCAGCTGGGCAGTTAAGGAATGAATAAAAGAAATTCCTGGTGCCTCTTTCATCGTTAATACTCTAAGACCCTTGTTGTTTGATAACTTTGGACTTGCTCCCTCGATGCACACAGAAAAGGATTCTTAGTCTTTTAACTCCCTGACAAATATTCAGATCAATAAGTCACTGGCGTCGGTGAAAGAGAATAAAGAACCCAGATGAGTTGAAAACTCTTGCACAGATACAACTGTAATCCTGTTGAGATCGCCTTCCCTGTGTGCTCTCAGGAATAAGTGCTGCTTTTGCAAAGTGGTAAGATAGTTTAATGTCTGGCTTTTATGTTTCATCATCTCATGGCATGAGGAATGCTGAATACTCTAAATGTTGGACTTCTAGAAGCTTGAACCCATTGACCTGCCGCAAGTAATTACTTCTGAAAGGCTCCTGAGCCAGCAAGAAGCCAGAACAACTCACAGAGCAAAGGTAAACGCAACGCTAACTGGAGGGGGTGAGTAATGGGGGGGAGGGGTGGGGAGGGGCAGGGATGGCCTGTCCTTTCATTTACTCCCTGCAAGAAGACCTCAAAGACAAATCAAACTATTAAGTCATTCAGAGTCAAGACTTCCAAAGCTATCCATTCTCTCCCAGGCCTGCCTCCAACTGGCAAAGACTCTTGTCTGTGAGGTAAACTCTGGGCCCTTCTCCACTTCCTGGTGAAAACAGGAAGATGTAGATAAGAGAGAGGAGTTTTTCTTGGACACTGCTAATTCTAGAAGTGTTCACATTTATGAAAAATCTAGTATGACTCTCCTTTTATTCGTCCCCTCAAGTTAAAGCTTTCCCTTCATTCTCAGTCTTTTGGTGGAAATCCTATCTACAAAGTGTCCCTAACTTATTTACCACAACCTCACCAAAAAACGAATCCTTGGAAAATGTTTTTTTTTTTTTTTAATTTTTTTTTTTAACGTTTATTTATTTTTGAGACAGAGAGAGACAGAGCATGAACAGGGGAGGGTCAGAGAGAGGGAGACACAGAATCCGAAACAGGCTCCAGGCTCTGAGCTGTCAGCACAGAGCCTGACGCGGGGCTCAAACTCACGGACCGTGAGATCGTGACCTGAGCCGAAGTCGGCCGCTTGACCGACTGAGCCACCCAGGCGCCCCTTGGAAAATGTCTTCTAAAGAGCTTTTCCTTCTATAAGTTTGTCACTTTCTGCTGAGACAGCTCCCCTCGTGTAGACATGAAAACTGTGAGGTAGTAGATTTTCAACCCTTTTCACTCCTGATTCATTGTCAAGCCAGCAAGGTACTGCTGCACAGCTAGCTGATGTGGTCAAAGATGCCCAGGTGCTTTTAGACCCTCAAGGTCATGTTTGTGCTGCTGACAGCACTGTAGAGATGGCCCCCTCGTGAGGCTCGCTACAGCCAACATAGTCACTGTCCACAGGGCAGAGTAAAAGAGATCACGGAGCACATCTGGCTCCCTTTCCTGGCCACAGCAAGGAATGAACAAGGGTGTATTCACCCCTGGTTGCCCTCAGTAACTGCACTGTCCCACTGGGGTTTACGAGGCACCACGGGAGATCACCAAAGTCACAAATGATCAACTTCCTAATATTCCAGGGCTTACGTTGGTATATGAGGGTACAGTCTATGGAAATGCGTTCCACTTAGCCATTTGGTGGCTCCCCTCTAATTTCACGTCCAGACAATTAGTCAACGGCAGAAGAGGCATTTTGAAGAAAGAGGCCAGTTTTATCAAACCAGAACACGTTTCTGGGGAGATAGGAATAAATGAGATGTGGAAAGATATTTCCATTTCAGATTTGCAAAACTCTACAGGAAGCTTAAAAACTGCATTAGACACAGAGCAAAGCTTTAGTCACCGAGGGCCACCCGGAAAGGACTCAGTGGAGAACTACAATGATCCCCCTTTGACATAATAAGAGATCTCTGTGGATTATAACTGATGACTGATTAAGATCTCGCTCTGTTCCAAAAAGAATTGCAAGTTGTAGATTGCAGAGTCCGTAACAAATTGCCCAGTTGTAATGAGTGCGGCATCTTTCACAGCAGGAACTGGAAAAGACAATGCCAACTCCAGGATACATTCCCGGGAAAAGACAATATTTACATAAGATGAGAATGTTGGAAATGAACCGGAACAGACAAGAGGTAAGTATGAGGAGAGAGAAGAAGAGTCCATATTTAGCACATTTACTCCACATAATCACTGCCCTCGCACATGAATGTAGTTTAGCATTCATCCCCAGTCTTTACTTAGCATTTTAAATTTGGTCATTGGCACCGAAGCTTCCACTACTGGAGCTGGGAAGAATCAGCAAGATCCCTTCTGCTACCGACTGTTGAGTCTTTTCTCTGTTTTCAGTCACAAGGACATATCTGTGCCCCAAGTCTGTTTTTTCTTCCTTTCCTATATTTTTTTTTTTCATAAATTGCTCCTATGATGTTCTGGCTCCAGCAGGAAAATGAGGTTAGATCATTTTTCTTGATTTAGTAAAATAGAGGGGGGGGGGTGAGTTGGTCTTTATTTTGATACCTAGGCATCCCTCCATAATTCACACCATAGAATTATCTTACCAGAATGATCTCTTAGAACACACCCTTTTACAGTAATGTCTCCTGTAAGTGTCATATTCCAAATTCCTTACTCGAGTGTTTAAGCCTAAAGTCACTGTCTTCTGCAATTCTAAATACATCACTTGCCTGCCAACAAATGTTTTTACAAAGCTCCTCTTAAATCAAACCATAGCTTTTTGAGACTGTGGGCATATATTCTCTCCTATCCTAACGAGCCTGTCCTGTGCAAAGAGAAAGTTTCCATACCATCTAATAGGAAAAAAAAGTGTGTTCTGATTAGGGGACCACAGTTAAGCACTCAACTTGCAAAGTGACTGATCTGTTGACCTGTTCTGGTGACAGTAGCTCAGGGGGAGAATACTAATCGATTACAGTGGATCATTTTCAGGCCCAAGCAGAGTTGAAAAAAAGTCTTCACAGGGAGGCAAGGATTAATAAGCAAAAACCGAGGGACCATAAAGCCAAGAAAATCCTTCAAAGCATCCCAAGAAATGATGACAGGGACCTTCCAACCTTTTTGCCAGATGAAACCTTGAACAGAAGTCCAGGTGAGTCATGACTTATTTTTTTTTAGCAAAATAAAATATTTCCAGTGTTTTTACGAACTATAGAAATGATCCCCGAAAGTATAGTCTTTTTTCCAGTGTTTTTTTTTAAATTTTTTTTTTTAACATTTATTTATTTTTGAGACAGAGAGAGACAGAGCATGAACAGGGGAGGGGCAGA